TAAGAGAGTTTTCCCCTTAATGAAGTTTGACTCAGTTAATGTAATTATGGATACCGAGAGGTTAATACAAAAAAAAAGTGAAAAAAAATACTATGTTATTTCAATAATGCACTATTAGAAAAAATTAAAAGAATCTCATACCTATTTTAAAACTTAGAATGTTTGAAAACAATATTTATGTAGTTTAATAGTACAATTATCTTTATTTTTCACTACAATTTAGAGTTTAATTCTTAGTTTTTATGTACAAAAAAAGAGAAATATTTTAATTTTTTTCAATAAACATTAATTAAAGAAATATGCACCCGGCCTTAAAGACCAAGCGGCACTCTACCACCATGAGATGCACTCCCCCTTCCTTTTTGGGTGTGTTCAAGTTTGCTTCTTGATAAATTGTTCAAAAATATATATATATATTTTTTTTAAAAAAAATATTTTTTATCTAAGTTTTGGCAGGCACAACTAATAAATATTTTTTCTTAAAAAAATTTGACACTCGAAAATATATCAAACTACAAAAGTAGCCATTAAATTAAGGAGAGTTATAATAATGGGAGGACCTTTCTCCAATAACTTGGTTTGCAGTATAGTTCGCACGAACTGCGAAACTCAATGCTTTTCATAATATGTTCAACAACGTGACAGATGGGATTATGAAGGCGTTCGTCTATCATAAAAATATAGATTTCACGCCAAAATGCAGCAAAGAACTTAGTTAAAATTGGATCTAGAATTACCGAAAAACTAACAGCCGGCAGTACTCAGGGGCGCAGTCACCTACGTCTATTTTCTTATTTGCTCTCCTTTACCTCCATTACCACTACTAAGGATGTCAACGAAGCCTGTAGGGTTGAGAAGTCCCTCCTCATCCCTGTCCTCGTAAATGGCAAGAACAGAGATCCTTGCGAGAATTTTTGACAAAACAGATTTTGCTCCCTATCCCTATTCTATGAAAAGAAATATTCTTCCTCACCCTGTTCCCGTAGTATGGGTTCCCATCCTGTGACGAGAATTGAGACAAATTGTCATCCCTACCCATTACTATGGTTCTTCCCTATCCATTACTATGGTTCTTGTGGCTAGCTCCTCTAGTTCTTCTCTTTGGCTCCTTTTCTCTATTTCTAGCTTTCTACTCTCAAACGATAACCTCCTATATATGAGTCTTTCCTTCAATTTTTGCAATTGTTAGGTTGCTAGAGTTCAAGAGCCCCCTTGGGTGTTTCTAAGTTCAAAGAAAAAAATGAGGGAGCGAGAAAAGGTGGCGGAAGTCTAAGTGGGGAGAATTGAAGAAGGGTTGGTTGAACAGCTGAGAGGATAAAGGTTTGCAGTGACTGGGAAGAACGGGTTTGCTAGTGATAAGAAGAAATGACTTTTTTCCTTCAAATATGAAAAGGATCACACACAATTGCACCCAAAAAGCCTAAATCCCTTCTTTTTTTCATCAATAATATTGTAATTACAATGTTGTATGGTATTATATTTACAATATAATGTGTCTTTATATAATTTATTTTTGCATTTAGAGATATATCTATAGTATTTTATACATTCACTCATATAATGACATATCACATTCATTTAACAATACGTCAAAATTGTAAATTTACAACTTTATATTATATTATAACTATAACATTATTATTTTTTCAACGATTGCTTCTCCCTTGAAAACCCTAAAAAATCTCCTTTGTTTTTATCACCATAGTTATAGCCCAAAAGCTAAAACCCTGAACTTTCCTTCAATCTCAACCCTCCAATCTCTAGAAATTAATCCCAACCCTTCACTAAAAATTTTTTTAAAATGGAAAGAAATTAATTTTTTTTTACAATCCAAGCACTGAAATTATCAAAGACATGAAAAAGAATTTTACTGAGAGTGTTTTGATAATTTTAATACATAAACTAATACAATTTCTACTTGAAAACACATTCTTGATTCGAAAAATCGAACAATTTTTGAAAAGCCATTAAAATTGGCGTGAAAAGTGGGTGGGGGACTTTACACTAAAGGGGAGATATCAAAAGGTTGTTCAGATTGGTACTTGAGAAAGATGGTTAATTTTTAGGTTAAAACCTTATTAGTCCTTTAGCTTTTATACGAAGCCCTTTTATAGTCCTCAACTAAAGAGATTCCCTTTGTAATCTCCCAAGTTTAATTTTTTTGCCCTTTCTAGTCCCATTAAATTTTTGTTGACTTTACATGCAGTTAACAGACAATTTTTAGTTAATGATTTAAATAACTTAATGATTATTTCTTTTTGTTAAAAATAAGAGATTTTGAATTCAAGTCGCATAACATGCAAGTGGGGTAAGATAAATGAGATAAGAGATTATTGTTTTTCATTATGCAATAATAAAAAAAAAACAATCTTTATTATTATTATTTTTTGTATAGTTTTTTTTTGTAAAAATGACTTGGAGAAAATCCAAGATGTACAAGAATGACAATGTGGCATATCTTATAAACAATTGAATATGAAATATAATATAATAAGCATATTCTTAAATTGGGATCCATTTACATTAATTAAAAAATTAATTATCAAAGATAAATTTACAAATTTACCCTTAACCCTTCTTTTTTAGACCTTCTCTTTCTCCCTTCTCTTCTCTTCCTTGTAAATCAACTTTATCTCTCTTCTCGCACCTAAGCTTTACTTTCTCCCTCCTCTTTTGCTCTCATCCTCTCTCTTCTTTCAGTTCCTCCTCTCATTTCCACCTCCAACGAAACTAGAATTGGTTACACGGTTTAGCAAGGCTTCTAAGGTTAAGTAGGGTTGCACCAAGGCCACGAGAGTTGAGCAAGAAACTAGATTTGGGTTCCTTGCCATTGTGTGAGGTGAGGGTTGAACAAGGAACCAAGATTTGGGTTTCTCACCATCACATCATAGTGCCAAACAAACCCAAATTAAGTTTATCTAAATTAAAGCGATGGAAAACAGACAAGTAGAGGGGTTCCATCACCTTTCATCTCTCTCTCTCCATTAATAAAGCAAACCAAATAAGAGAAAAGATACATCTCCCCTTACCCTTCTCCCCTTCCCCTCTAAATCCCTTAATATAAGCTCGCTGTTAGGGATTTAAAGGCTTGACTAGAGAAACTACACCGTTTGGTGCATCTGTAGGTAAGTTGGCAAAACGATGAAGCTAACCCTTGACTTTATGATTAATTTGTACTTTAGTCCTCTTAATTTCTCTATTTCAATCCATTAGCTTCCAACTATCTCATCCATGTCCCTAAAACATAAGCTTTCTTATTGCCAATTAAGTCCTTGTATTCTTTTTGTTCCTAAACCTCTGTCCTATTATGTTATCCTTTTCTCTTTTCTCTAAAGTAGATAACTTAATGAACAAATAAATGGTCTTCATTGGAAAGTAAAAGAGTTTTTTAAAAATAAAAAATACAAAAATAATATCTTCAATGAAATGCACAACTTAGCTTAAATAGGAGAATTTATCTTTAATTGATACCATTTGTAAAAATTGGAGTCACAAGGATGTTGATACCTTCCTAGTGTGTAACCATACTCTGACTCAACTCTGAATTTTCATATCAAATGTTTGTTTCATATAGGTATTGAAACTTACCTAAGATGAACAAATCAAAAGGTGGCCAATCACATCATTATAAAAGATTGGTGACAACTGTAAATCTTTGCACTCATCTCATACCAATTTCTCGCTATCTCACAACATCGGGATCATCCCCGCCATGCTCAAAGGGACAATATGATATATATATATATATATATATAATGCACATCAATTTCAACTATGTAAAAATTAAATTTTAAATTTTAAATTATTTTATTTTATTTTATTATAATTTAATTTAAAATTTAAAAATTCATTGTATTAAATATTGATATACATATATTTAGAAATCAATTATATATTTTGAGTTTTAAATTAAATTTTAATTAAATGAAACAATATTAATTAAGTTTAAGACTTTTTTTTTTAATTGAAACTAATATATATCAATCTCTATATATATAATTATTATATAGTCTTAACTGTAACAAATTGTACAAAATTGATTGTTGGATGGGAAGCAAACCACTTGATATTGGGCCTTCCCCCATTCAATCATCCTTGTTCTGCAGTCCCATCATGTACTTATACACATATATATTGAATAGTGACAACTTGGCGATGGGGATGGTGACAATATCATAGTAGTGCGGTAGTTCAAAACCTAGCATTCGAGAACTCTAAGTGCACTTTTACCACTTGCTCTATCGTGACAAGTGCAAATTGTTATATATTTTGTTCCAAGGTTTAGGTATTTATAAAGCTACTAAATCAATGTGGTTTGGTGATTCTTAGAATTGGACTTAATTCACTTACAAGTGTTTGTCTTTAAGCCCCTAAGCATACACTTTGTGTTTTAACCCAAAAAACCTCTTGTTATTATTGTAATTGGTTTAAAATAAATGAA